CCCCCCCCCCCTCCTCCTTCTTATAAGCAATAAAATGAAGTTTCTAAGCCTCTGTTCAAGCCTATTCCACCGATGGGCATTTGAAAATCACAGCACAAAAAGGAGGACGGACTGGTAACTAAAAGAGTTAAAAAAGTGTACAAGAAATTCAATAGACCAGGAAATTGCACTATTTCCAAGGAGTTTTAGTCAAAACAACCGCCATTGACCACTATTACAAACAAGGTGACTTTATTCCTTCTTTGCGATGGAACTCATTAACCGCTTCAAGTATGCCCGTCAACTGATTGGTTTTTAGAGTAACAGCATGACAGTCGATGGCCTTTTCGAAACAATAGTCAATGTGGTTAAAATCTGAGGATTGGGATGGGAGAGGGTTCGGAGGTCAAAAACGAAGGGTGCCGAATCCTGCTACCGCCATTTATATGGCCTATTATTGGCTAACCAAGTTCGTTTTACACGGGTTAACTACGACAGGGGGTCGGAGATTACACGTAGACAATTGATTACCGACCTTCGTCCACGTTGAAATAGATGCCGAGGGAACCATCACATTGCATCATTCTCACTTGAGGAGGATACGTCCAAAACCTTGAAAGTTTGGATGGGTGGGGGGGGGGATATCCTTTGGACAGTAAGGAAGTCAAGCTACCTGTTATTCTGGATGTTGTGCTTTCATCGTTCCAAAAGTCTTTCTCATCGAAAAAGAAAAGGGCCATTTATACTTCAGCATGAGGTTTCACATTGTTCAAAACTTTCTTCGTCTTCGTCTCACAAATTATGTGAAATCCTCTATGAGAAATAGAGCAAAGGTCTTCATTAAGTGTACACTTCACGGTAGAATCAATTTATCGTGTCGACAAAACCTCACTTCCGTCTGCAACTGATTCTAAATTAAGTCTGCTGTGTTATACTCCTATTCCAAGAGCCACGTCGTAGTTATTCTCATCTACGATTATGGAGCGGTTCCACACTTTATTCGTTCTCTTTGCCACTACGCACATGAGCGAGGAAGGTCTTGAATCCTTAAAGGAAGCGCAACATACGCGAATGCCTTCAGGAGATCTTGGAAAAAAAGCAAATGCCATTTTCCCAAATTCATCACACTAAGAAAATGAGCATTTTAAAAGCAACATTAAAATGCTATTGACTTTTAAATTCAGTCTTTCAGATTATATGATGTAGCCTTTACAGTAAAATACCCGTTCAAGTTATTCCCGACTTCAGTGACATTTCAAAATCGTTTTACTCTAGAGTATGATCCATGGATATGCAAAAGTGATGATCAGACAGGACAAGGTCTGGTGAATATGAGAAAGTGATAGAAACTCCGTATTTAATTCCTAACTTACTTTGGGAGGGAATTCTTGATTTGTGGTGCCGTTCGGTTGGAA